AATATATATATAGAGTCTCGTGCAAAATTTGAGGGTTTTGCCCTCTTGAAGTTCAAAACGTGTACGATTCTTCAATAAAATCTTGCAGATTATTCAGCGGTTTTTGAGCGCGCACATTGTGGGCTCAAATCGAATGTTGAAAAGTAGTCAGTCACCTGTTTTTCCCCCCCAAGATATTCCTGTCTTAGATAGGCTCAGGGTTTTAGGATACCAGCAGCACATCCCTATCACTGAACCACCTCTAGTGCCCCCCTTCCCTCCCCACCCCCGGGTAAATATCATACTTAGCTATTAGGCAATAATATTTAAGTAATAATATACATCAAATCTTTGATTGACAACTGTCTTAAAGTGACTATGATGGCCAKCTATAAGTTATGTGTTTAGTCTTAGCAAACCAGTAAAGTCACCAACACATTCTTTTCTATCAATGCAATRCAAACCAATGTCACCTTGCAATCGTTTAATTTGGCGTAGCTTGGTTGATTAGTGCGCGGCTTTCGAAGCTAGAGGTCCACGCGGATTTGACACTCAGGATCTTCACATCTGTTTTAAATGGCACTTCTCTCTACTCCGTGTAGCTTCAGCTTTCAATGATCTTAAAACAGAGGACTGATGGAGGGGGGGGGGGGGGGGGTAAATTGCCCACCGTTAGCTTATTCTTGGAAAAGCAGCTACTATCTGAAGAAACACTGACGTTAAATAAGGCATTTACCTTTATCTTTATTTCTAAAAGCTTTTTTTGTTTGTTTTCCAGCTGCTGCCGCAATAAAGTACTGTGGAATCTATCCATACGAACCAAAAATTCAAATCTGTTGCTCAGGAATTCCTCAAATAAAGCCCAATAAGTTCATATCCTGTTGTGGCAAGAGTTCGTACAATCGTCAATCACAATACTGCTGCGCTGGTGTGGTTAAACAAAAGTCATCAAATACATATTGCTGCGGRAAGACGACTTACAACTCCCTGACACAGATATGTTGTGGCGGRAAAGTGGTGACAAAAAATAGCAGCTCTATGTCCTGTTGTGGAAGTAARGTGTACGACTACAGAAACCAGTTCTGCTGCGCTGGAATAGTAATATCCAAGGGTGTCCATAACGCGTGCTGTGTTAGGAAACCGTACAATACCTTGACTGAAGTTTGCTGCAGTGGAAATCTGTTTAAGAGAAACAGCTCCACTTCATGCTGTGGAAGTAAGGCCTACGACTACCGAACCCAGTTTTGCTGCGCTGGGAAAGTGATGACTAAAGGAGTGAATAACAATTGCTGTGGCAGAGCTCCGTATAACACAGCTACGCATATTTGCTGCGGTGGACAAGTAAAGACGAAAGACAGTCCCACTAGCTCGTGTTGTGGAAGTAAAGTCTATAACTACAATACTCATTTCTGTTGCTCTGGCATTGTGAAGACGAAAGGGGATCATAACGCATGCTGTGGACGAAAGACGTACAACACGATGACACAGATTTGTTGTGGGGGAAGAGTATCTAATAAGAGTAGTCCTTCTACATCTTGTTGTGGAGGAAAGGTCTACGACTATCARACCCAGTTCTGTTGTGCGGGAGTCGTAAAACCAAARGCACTCTACTATAACTCGTGCTGCGGACGACATCCCTACCACACAGAAAAACATATCTGCTGTGGTGGTAAGTTAACGATGAGAGGAGYTYATAYTTCTTGTTGTGGTAGTACTGTGTTTGATTACAGCACACAATTTTGCTGTGCAGGCGTGGTAAAGAGCAAAGGAGTGCAWAGCGCTTGCTGTGGGCGRACATCATACAACCCCGCAACCCAGATTTGCTGTGGTGGTAAGCTATCAAAGAAAGATGGTCTCACATCTTGTTGTGGAAGAACTGCGTTCAACTACAAAACCCATTTCTGCTGTGGGGGTGTCGCAAAGAGAAAAGGA